AGGGGGTGGAGCGATTCCACTTGCAGCCCATGGAGGACCCCACGCCGGAGCAGGTGGAGGCACCTGAAGGAGGCTGTGGCCTGTGGGAAGCCCACGCTGGAGCAAGTTCCTGGGAGGACCTGTGGACCCTTGGAGAGAGGAGCCCACACCAGAGCAGGTTTGCTGGCAGGACTTGTGACCCCGTGGGGGACCCCACGCTGGAGCAGTTTGCTCCTGAAGGTCTGCACCCTGTGGGAGAGACTCACGTTGGAGAAGTTCATGAAGGACTATCTCACGTGAGAGGGACTCCATGTTGGAGCAGGGGAACGATTAAGAGGAGTCCTCCCCCTGAGGATGAAGAAGCGGCAGAAACACCGTGTGAGGAACTGACCGTAACCCCCACTCCCCGTCCCCCTGTGCTGCTGAGGGGGGGCAGAGGTTGAAGCCAGGAGTGAAGTTGAGCCCGGGAAGATGGGAGGGGTGGGGGGAGGTGTTTTAAGATTTGATTTTATTTCTCATTCCTCTACTCTGTTTTGCTTAGTAATAAATAAGATGAATTTCCTCTCTAAGTTCAGTCTGTTTTGCTCGTGACGACAATTAGTGGGTGATTTCTCTCTGTCCTTATCTCGACCCATAAGCTTTTTGTTATACCTTTTCTCCCCTGTCTAGAGAAGGAGGGGAGTGATAGAGCAGCTCTGGTGGGCACCTGGCCCCCAGCCAGGGTCAACCAACCACAGTCAAGAACTTGGATAGAGTTGTCTTAGGTGCTGTAGAAGCAGAAAAATGCTGGCGTCTGTCTTGGAGGATGTGAGCTTATGGCGGTGTCTGACCCATCTGGAGTGCTACAGCTATGGGAATTGGAGGAGGGTTTGATGGCAATGGAGACTTTTGACTGTTCTGTAGATGTGGCTGAGCAGGTTGTTTGATCTTGGTTGCTTTTGAAAAGCAGGTGGGAAGGGGACCTCTTTCTCAGAGCAATCTGTTAGTCCCATGAGTTTCGTTTTGCAGGATCGAGGATATAACCCAAGGGGATGGTGGCTGTAATCAAAGTGGTGTGTCAGGTGCCCAAAGATGTTTCAGGAGCCAGAAGGAACTTGGAAAAAAAGTTGAAAGAACTTGGGCCAACCATCCTCATTCTGATTTTTCTGTTAAG